TTTCTCCCTCTTGGCCCAAGTACCGGCAGCTAGTACTGGCATCTAGGCAGCATACTGAAATAATTCTTGCTGGGGAAAATGGTACAAAAGAAAAACTTAAAGATAACTGACTTTGGGGGTTTCTAAGGAAGAGTCAGGGTTCTTGCCCAGTCCCCATCCTAGTACTAGTTCAGTCATCTTATTTTCGCATAGTGAACATCCGACCAAATATTTAAACTTTCACTTTGTTATTGTTTTAAAATGGCCTTTTGAGATATAACTGCATTCTATAAAATTCATATATGGAGTGTATAATTCTGTGGTTTTTAGTATAGGACAATTGTACAACCATCACCACAATCAAATTTTATTTTATTTTTTATACCACCCCACAATTTAATTTTAAAACATTTCATCACACCAAAAATAAACTGTGCCTATTAGTAATCATCATTATTCCTGCTCTTTTTTCCTATTGCACAACCCAGTCAGCCACAGATATATGTTCTATCTCTGTAGATTTGTGTAGCCTGAATATCTTATATAAGATGTTTTAAGTAGAATGAGAAATGAAGAGTCACCAGACATTTGAGGAGTACTTGAGATGAAATCTAGAAACTCAGTGAAAACAAAGGCAATATAAGACCAGAAGACAACTCTTAAAAACTTGCAATTTTCACATCGACAAAACATGAACAGGAGGTAATCAAAAGGAATATTCAGAGAAGGATGCTCTTAAGAAATGAAAATACTGTAGAAAAAACATTCAGTAGAAGCAGAGACAAAGTTGAAAAGTTCCCTTAGTCAAACAAAAAGGCAAAGCTATGGAAAATGAGTTAAAAGGTAAGAAAAGCTGAGACTAGTTCACAGTAATCATATTCTCAGCAAAAGCAGGAGGAAAACAAATTCTTAAGAGAGCTAGGCAGAAAAAGTCTTTAAATAAAAGAAAATTTCAAGAACCGAAAGACCTGAGATTGTAGATTAAGAAGGTTCATATGTTTCCAGCATAATGGATGAAAGGATACTTTAAGATACATTTTTGTGAAATTTCAGAAAAGCAGGAATAAAGAGATGATTCTAAAAGTCAAAAAAAACCATGTTACCTGCAGAAGATGGGGAACCAGGATGGCCCTGAACTTCTTAGGGTGGGAATCAGAAAACAGTGGAGCAATTGATACCTTCAGCATTCTAAGGTGGAATGATTTCCAGCAAAGTTAGTAGAGTCATTTTCAGACTTAAAACTTCTTTGCATCCATTTTTCACATAAACTTCCTCAGGAATCTGTTGAAGGAGGTGATTGGAAAGAAAGGAAAAGGAAAATAGAAGGAGGAAGTCTTGGGATCAGGAAATGGGAGGTCCAAAAAACAGAGAGGCAAAGGGAATTCACAAGATGCTGGTGTGGGGACCTTCCATCCAGTGTAGGGTGGAGCAGATGAGGCACCTCCAAAAAGAGCGGGGAGAGAGCAAGCAGGCAGTTAGAGGTGCGTCTCTGGAATATGTGAAGGTGATTCAGTGATAGGTACATAATCAAAAGGGGGGGGCAGTTCTTAACATCCAAGAAACAAACTTATTTTTACTGTGAGAAAGAATGTAATTGTGGTTTATTGTGTAGTTCGCTATGATCAGTATTTTCATAATCACAGTAATGTAGTTAACTGTGCTATTGATCCAGCCAAAGTGGTGAAGAGGGGACAGTGAGGAAGATGTGTATGTAGAAGTAAGGCCTTGTGGGTAAAATCCTCTTCTCCCATAGTAGAAGGCAGAAAGTAACTAGATCTTGAAAAAAAAAAATCTATACTTAATTTATGCTCTTTTAAATTTGAGGCAAGTAGAAGAAACATTTTAAAAAGTTGAGAGTATCTGCTCCAGGAGCAGAAATTGGGAGTAGGGAGCGATGGAGGAGAAGACGACTGTTATTATCATTTTTATTATGGTCTACTTGACTTTAAAGGTATTACCTTTATTATTTTGTAAATGTCAAATTTTTATATTGAAAAGGCAAGCTATAGAGTTTTTCTGTTTTTTAAATTAGGTCTTGGTTCTATTTTTTTCTACATTTTTTATATGTAGGATCATAAGCACTTCTGGATACACCAAAAAACAAAATAGAAGACAACCTCTTGGATGTCTGCACTTTTTATTTTAGTAAACATAAGAATGCCACAAGTGTGCTGGAGCAATGAAAAATGTGAAGACATGGATCTTAGCCCTTAGCCCAAGGAATCTGGAGCTTAGAGGTTAGAAAGATATTTTCATAAACCTTACTGAAACATCTCTAATCAGGTGTTGCCTTGATTAAACATTTTCAGTAGCTCCTTTAGTTTGACATTTAAGACTTTTCTAAAAATCTAACCTAAATCTCCTGGTCTACTACAGTGAGATACCATTTCACACCCACTAGTATGACTAATGAAAAAAGATAATGACAAGTGTTAGGGGGTGGAAAAATTGGAATTCTTGTACACTGCTTGTGGGAATGTAAGATGGTTCAGCCGCTTCAGAAAAGTCTGGGCTCGGCGCCTGTGGCTCAAGCGGCTAAGGCGCCAGCCACGTACACCTAAGGTGGCGGGTTCGAATCCCCAGCCCGGGCCCGCCAAACAACAATGATGGCTGCAACCAAAAAAAAAATGGCCAGGCGTTGTGGCGGGCGCCTGTGGTCCCAGCTACTTGGGAGGCTGAGGCAGGAGACTCGCTTGGGCCCAGGAGTTGGAGGTTGCTGTGAGCATGATGCCATGGCACTCTACCCAGGGGGATAGCTTGAGGCTCCGTCTCAAAAAAAAAAGAAAAAAAAAAAAAAAAAAAAAAAGAAAAGTCTGGCAGTTCCTCAAATGATGAAACATAGAGTCGCCACATGACCCAGTAATTCCACTCCTAGGTTTAATACCCTGAGATGAAAACACATGTCTGCATAGGTGCTTGTACATGAATGTTCTCAGCAGTGTTTTTCGTAATAGCCAAAAAGCAGAAAGAACCCAAATGTCCATCCATTGTTGTGGGATATCCATAGAAGGGAATATGATTGAGACATAAAAAGGAATAGAGTACTGATACATACTGCAGCACGGATGCACCTGTTGCACTGAAACGTGCTCAGTGAAAGAGCTCGTGTTGTATGATTGCATTTACGTGAACTGTCCAGCATAGGCAAATCCACAGGGACAGAATGTAGTTTAGTGGTTGCCAAGGGCTGGGAGGAAGGAGCAATGGGGAGTGACTGCTAATGGGGAATACACTAAAAATCATTGACTTGTATACTTTAAACGAGTGAATGGTTGGAAAAGGCTGGAAAAGGATTATCTACTATAGTAATACTCAGTAAAGGTGTTATTTAAAAAATCCTAAGCTTCACTTTTCCAGTCTTATTTCTCATTCTTCTACTCCGCCTCAGCCAGTTTCACTTAGATTCTCTGGTGTGCAGTGCAGCTTTTCTCCATCCTCCAGTTCGAAACCTAACGCTTTGGATTTTTTCAAATCTAGCCGGATTCTCTCCTCTTCTGTGAAATACAGAGTAAATTCTGCCTAGCAAAAAGTAATCTCTGCTCTCAACTTCTACCACATTTTAAGTCTCCAAGCACATCCCTTTATGTATTGCCACGTAGAGGAATTGTGTGTTAAGTGCAGGCTTAGTCAACATTCGTCAGTCGCATACACGGGTAGTCAGAAAATCCTTACCCTAGAAAATCCTTTAAGTTGCCTGAACAGGACAATTTTCTTTACATTCATTTTGGCTAGTTTTTTTTCTTTTTTTTAATCTTCCAAAATTAGAACAGATTTCTGTTCTATTGAATTGTAGTTGAAAAAACTGACTTGCACTTACAGGTGTTACATAAAATAACAACAACAAAACCCAGCAAACAGTGAAAGTTTGGATATGCAGTGGTAGGGCTCCAATCTCGTCTCAGCCCCAGTTCTTAAAGGAAACAAGCTAAGACTCATATCTTGTGCAGTTGAGGGGAAGAAGGGGATAAGATGATAGAGGGATTGGTTTATGAACTAACTTGCCACCATTTGGGAGTACTTTACTTCAATGTTTATTTTGGGTGGAATAATTGGCCTGTTAGATGAAATAAATCATCTAACAAGACATTTTCCCTTTTTAACCTATGCTACCTGGAAAATGTTGCTTTTCTTTAACTTCACAGTAACTCACTCTGTATTTTAAGCAACTGAATATTTGGACCCCACTTACTGCATTGTGGTGGGCTTTTACTCTCCTGTGACAAGACTCATGTTCCACACAACTAATTATTCGCACTGTGAGGGCCAGGTGGAAACCAAGACCTACTAAGAGAATGGTGAAGTTCTGTCTTTCCACCTCTATGCCTTTTTTTTTTTTTTTTCACTTTTACACTGTTTTTCAAGGTGTGAACTTAGTAAATAGGAATGGTAGACAAAAATTACTGGACCTTTTGAAATATTTTGTTCTTGTTCTCTACCCCTTTCCTGTGAAATAGAATTGGTTTGTTTAAATGAAATGTGCTGTAGGAAAGACTAGTTGAATAGATGGTGCTCCATCTGCAGGATGGAGTACTATTACGGCTGTCACCAAGAGAAAACAGAAAACCAAAACTGGTTTATAACATGTTTAAGAGTTTTGTTTGTGCGTAATATGCATTTCTGTAAATATACATATATTCTTCAAGATAAAATTATGTATGTATTTGTACGTGTATAAACTGTTTCTGGAAGAATCCGTAACAATTTGTTAATAGCATTTACCTCTGGTGAAAGGACCAGGAGTTGATGATCGGGGTGGGAGGAAGGCTTAGCTGTGGGTATAGGTGATCTCTGGTATTGTTTGATTCTTACTATGTGCATATATTACCTATCCAGTGGAAAAACATTAGTATCTTTTTACCAATTAATTGTTAGTAGTTCATGGGAAATATTTACATGTCATTTTGAGATGCTTATTGTAAAGCAACAGAAGAATCTGCAGTTATAATTTGTGCTACTACTTGTTTGATTCTCCAGCAGCTGAGATATGTACCATCAGTGATTTGCGTATTTGTGTTTTACAGAGTTACATCCATTTGGGAGAATAGCCTCCAGATCACTACAATTTCTAGTTTAGTAGGAGCATGGCTTGGAGCATTTCCTATTCCGCTGGATTGGGAAAGACCATGGCAGGTTGGTTTCGGTTACTTAAAGCAAATCAGATGTTTGTACCAAGATAGTAAAATTGATGAAGCAAGTGTGTGTGTGTAGTTTTGTTGTTGGATAAAAAAAGGCCTTCTGAATTTTACCAGTATATGGTCAGTTAATGATTATTAAAGACAGACAGCAGAGAAGCTTTAGAGATAGGTGAATGTAAATGTAGCAACCAAAGTAGTAGAGAGCTTTAAGAAGAAGTGAGTGGTGAACCATGTTGAATGTTCAGTGACTCAGAAGTCCAAGCTGGAAGTTTGGGGTGTGTAGTCTTAGATACCCTTCCCACGGATTTGGTGCTAGTAAAGGTTTCCTTTATATTTCCTTGGCCAGTTCAGGGATCACTGGGAGATGGGAATTCAAGTTGGAATCTTATGGACATCATCTATACATAATTTCATTCAACAGAGTGCCCAAGATTGCTAAATTGGGGGACAGTCATACTCATTGAGAAGTATATATAGAAAAGTATTTTAACCTGTATTAGCCTCATTACTCCAAATAATGCAATTAAATCTAAAGGCAAAGTATTGATAAATAAAGCACCATGGGACATTAGCTGTAATGAGTTGGTAAGATAATGTATCATACCAGTTTGTATGCAGATGGAATGTTTTTGAGCATAAATGTTTGATATCTTATACATGTGTATAATTTAACTCTTTTTTCTGTTCATAGAACTATACAGGAGTAGAAATTGAATTATGGGGAGTAGATGAACTTTATAAGATTTGAGTTTAGGTTTGCCTAGAAACTATAAATGTTAATTATTTATAATCCATTTATCCATTTTGGGATTGTTCAGGCTTTTAGCTATTGATTCATTTTTCTACCTCGGTACTTGTTTACAATAAGGAATAAGTTGGATCCAAATTGATGGTATCAGACTTTTAAACTTAATATAAAGTTTCTGTTTGAATTACTGTTCAAGAAGATCTTCTAGCTGGCTAACTTAAATTCACAAGAATTGGTCTTCATTACTGGCTGTTTATCTTACTATTGGGTTGTTTTTAGAGTATTCCAAGTTAATGACCCATTTATTCACTATCATCCTATATAATTATGATACATGCAGTCGGTGGATGGATAGAATTGATATATAATTAGAAATCTTTTATTCCTATAATGTTTACCTGCCCCGGACCTTTTAGCAGCTTACCAATACCTAAAGAAATGATGAAGTTTCATTTTTTCTTTCACTTTTTTATTCCAGCAAAATTTTTTGTTTGCTTTTTGTTATTGTTATTTTATAATAATTCTGACTACACAGAACAGAATCTGCCAGAGAAGCAATAACTCAGATAAGGAGATAGGACGTTTCCTAAAAATGGAGACTTTGCTAGAGCAAAATTTTATGAAATAGTACTGTATACACGTTATGATCTAAAATATAACTTGTATGAAGAAGAGATTTTAGTTCTCTGTTCCTTATAGCCCAATATTGATTCGATACATTTGTGGTAAAGCAAGCTTTTCAGGACTGTGATCTGGTTTTATTTATATTTTAGTCAGAGAAACAAGAGTATCCGGTTACTTTCTTTAAACACATAAATACACATACACAAAACCCCACAAAAACTATTACATATTCTAACTCAATTTTCTCAACTTTGAATTCAAATCTGATTTTGTATAACCTTCCTGAGGCACCCATAGGATTATATGATGTGAGTTCTGTAATGAGCTGTTACAAACATATATATATATATTTTTTTTTTTTTTAAAGACAGAGTCTCACTTTATCGCCCTCAGTAGAGTGCCATGGCATCACACAACTCACAGCAACCTCCAGCTCTTGGGCTTAGGCGATTCTCTTGCCTCAGCCTCCCAAGTAGCTGGGACTACAGGCACCTGCTACAATGACCTGCTATTTTTTTTGTTGTTGTTGCAGTTCGGCTGGGGCTGGGTTTGAACCCGCCACCCTCGGTATACAGGGCTGGTGCCCTACCCACTGAGCCACAGGCACCGCCCTTATATTTTTTAAATTGTTACTTCGCTAAATGATTGAAAAGGCCTATTGAAAATATATAATCTCTCTTTCTTCTTTTCTTTTCTTTTTTTTTTTTTTTTTGAGACAGTCTCATTTTGTTCCCTCTAGAGTACTGTGACGTTATAGGTCACAGCAACCTCAAACCCTTGGGCTCAAGCAATTCTCTTGCCTCAGCCTCTGAAGTAGCTGGGACTCCAGGTGCCCACCACAGTGCTTGGCTATTTTTAGAAAGAAGGTCTTGGTCTGGCTCAGGCTGGTCTTGAACCTGCAAACTCAGGCAGTCCACCTGCCTTGGCCTCCCAGAGTGCTAGACTGCCCCTAGCCCGAAAATATGTCATCTCAATGAAAATGCATTTAAGTGATTTTAAGTGATGAAAGATATTCAGCATCTTTGTAGTTGGAGGAAGGCTTCCCTTTGTAAGAGGCAGCAGGGCCTTTGGTTGTAGAGAATGGGGGAGGGTGGCTCCTCCCTACATTATCCTTGTTGTTTTCAACATTTTAAAGTCATCTTGCTTCTCTTCCCTGTCTTAATTATTTGTTTTAAAATGTCAAATAAACATTTGAATTTCTCATAACCCACACAGCTTTCTTCACTCCCATAGAAAGCTTATAGTATAATTACTGACAAAATAAATATTTGTACTGCAGAAAATCTTTGTACATTATAATTTGACTTTTTATCTGCTGTAACTAAATAGCTAATCAATAACTATTTGTTGAGTTATTACAGATACTATGTGCAAAGCCTGTATTCTATTCTAAGTAAGTAAAACATATTTAAATATTGCTCAGGCCTGGAATTTAATCATTTAACAACAGTAATTTAGATCCAAATTTAATATGCTTTGAACATTTTGTAGAATATGTAGCTGTTAAGTGGGAAATTTGATTTTTTTCTTTTATCAAAACATGAGCTAGTATTTCATGTTACACAAAATTAGTGGAAGGCTAAGAAGTGTTGGTTATTCTGAGCAAAGGAAAGTGACGGTGAGGTTGTTAAACCTATGTTTTATTAGTAGATAGGCAGATAACATGATGATTAGGAGCTCTGGTGTCAGATTCAAATCCTGGCTCTGCCACTTGGTATGAGGATTAAGTGATAAAATCCTTCTAAAATACTTAGCTCAGCACCTGACACATAGTTTTTGCTTAATTAGTGTTAATAGCATTTGTGACCCATAAAGGTAATAGTTTAATGACTATATTTTTAGCATTCCAAAAAATGCAAATTCCATTATTTATTTGAGTTCTCTTGTTAGAGAGTATGTTCATTGTCTTAGTGGATTGTTTTGTTCTTTTTGCCCAACAGGTATGCAGTTGGCAGAGTGAACGTTTAATTTGTCTGTTTCTCTGGTACTTACTTATACCAATTTAGGGTATTTGGATTTCACATAATTTTCTATCCTGTCTGACAGTATATTCAGATAACAGTAGAAAGAAAATATATAATAACATATGTAGATCTCTCTTCTCTACTGTGCACGGGGCTTGCCACTATCAGACAAGTGATTTAATACTAATAATCGTAGTACAGGGTAGTTTGATTCCCATTTTTACACTAAAAAGTCAAAGTGTGGGGGGTATACATCTTGCTTAGCATTACTTGACTGGTCTAAGACAGGAGAGCCCCTGTACACCGTGACTTTCTTCATCACTGGAGACTGAAACACAGCTTTTCTTTCCCCCAATGGGCTTAGGTCTCTTGGAACAGCTTACGTAGTTATTACGTTGCATTCTTTCCCCCACATTGTTTCTTTTAAATCCCATAACCAGTCTGGTGTCTGTATTTTAGGCCATAATTTAATACATTTGTAGGAGAGTATTTAAAGTCAGTACTATATAATGCCTTTGTGCCTAAAATGCCTACAAATGCCTTTAAACCTTGAGTTTCAACGCTGCTATCTCCAAAAGGAATTTAACCCGACAACCAGTTCTCTTCTGGGATACTTATTTCTTATAAATATAAAAAGAACAATTGATATTATAAAATATTTTAAACAACTGAATTGGAAATTTTTGAATTTTAGCATTTGAGATTATCTTTTAAACAACTGAAAATTGTTTAAAAATATTTATACTTATTCTCATCACATAGCAAATGAGAGATTGTTGTATTTTAAAAACCCTTCTTTTTTCTTCTTCAGTTTTACCAGGTTAAAAATTTAGTATTTGTGAGATATATATTCATTTCCTAAAGTCCCAGATGCTATAGGTAATTCTTTCATAAATTGAAACTAGAGATCATAGGATTAGAACTAAAGGAATTATTGCAAAACATTGGAAGGAGGGATAAAACTAAAATTATGGATTTGACTGAAGAGTTGCATGTTAAGTTAATTGATATTTGTTAGCAAAGGTATTACACTCTAGAATTTTAGACCAAAAGAAAATATTAATTTACGTTAGTTATATGTTTCAAGCATAGGAACAATGTTTAACACTTAACGGATATAAAATGGTTTTGGATTTGAAAGGTATGTTCATTGTAGCATGATCGTATTAGTAATGCTCTGTTGGCAGATTTTCATGTGAGAGAAAACAACGCTGGCCAGGTTCACTCATTTGCATGAGTGGTGGCCAGGACCAGATAGTGTCACTTGGACAAAGACTACAACTTCAGTACAGAAATAACTCTGAATTAGTGTTCTTCTTCATAGGAGAGTGGTAAGAATATATACAGATCAGCACAGATGTATGCCCAGGGAAATGTGTCCAGATGAGTAGATTCATATATTTCTGTATCAGACGATAACATTTACTTTAGGAATATCTGGAAGGACACATTGCTCAAGATCAAATTTCGAGAATGTAAGTGATCACTTTTAGCCAATAGGTCAGAAGCCATGAAAGATGAATTCTGGGGCGGCACTTGTGGCTCAAAGGAGTAAGGCACTGGCCCCATATGCCAGAGGTGGCAGGTTCAAATCCAGCCCCGGCCAAAAACCGCCAAAAAAAAAAAAAGAAAGATGAATTCTGTCAGTTATGCAAATGC